TCCAGGCCCCAACTCCAGTCCAGCCCTTGACCCTGGGTCACCCTGGGACCCCGGGCCGGACCCCAACTCTGGTCCGGACCCCTACCCCAAACCGGATCCCCACTCCAGTCCGGACCCTGACTCCAATCCAGACCCCGACTCCAATCCAGACCCTGACCCCGGTCCAGGCTGCAATCGCAGCCCCATCTTTGATGCCAGCAGCGGCCCCCGAGGAGCTCCCAGTGCAGAACCCCTTCCTGACCACCGAGGCCCAGAAGCTGGATTATCTCCCAGAACCGGCTCCCAAGCCGGCTTTGTCGCTGGAGGACCCCTCGAGGTCGCTGAGTCAGAAAGCCACCCCATCGGCCACCAATCTACCCGGGCCCACCTTGGGTCCGCTGCCAGCGCACACGTCCTCGGCCACTGAGATGCTGGGCTCCACCCTGGAGCCCATGCCGAGAATGGACATGCTCTCCCCCAGATTGACTGAGGCCCCTCCTGGGTATACCCCAGTGCCTGTCCTGAGCACCTCCGTTGTAGTTGCCGTGCCCAATTCCAACACCTCTTTCGCCTCCACCAGCGAGAACTTTGCTGGGCAACAGATGGACAACAGAGTCCTGGTTCAAGTCATCTATTGGTGAGGGGCGGTCCCCCTCCTCCCCTGGATAAGAGGGGCAGGCGCTGGGGCTCTGAAAGTCTGGGGTGGGGGAGGGGAAGGGCCCGCCGTAGGTTGGCAACTCGATGGTTCCCTCTACCTCGATGAGGTTCCGGAAAGCTGGGTTCCAGTCTCCCCTCACCCTAAGCCCTGTGATTGATGCTTGGCTGCTGGCGTAGCTCCATGCATTCATCGTTTCTTTGTTTGAAAACAGGAGGCTTTGCAGTGGGATTTCGGTGAGGGTCTACTGAGCAGAGCATCAGTTTCGCTCAAACAGTCTGCTTTCCACTCTGCCATGCCATCTCCTCGACGCACTTACTGATTCCACTCACACACACCCCGTCCTTCCCCGGATTCCCCATTGCCATTACTGCTCCCAATCAGCTCTCTGTACTGCCCTTTGATCTTAAGTACCCAATTCTCCCAACGTGGGGGGGAGGTCAGAGCCAGACTTGAAGGGTGACTGAGGGCCATGGTGGCAGGGGTCCCACTGGTGTCTAGCCAGCCATTCTGTTCTCTTCAGTGATTTGGGAGTTTGTTCCACGTGTTCCGCGTCATCTACCCCCCCCCCCACTCTATCCCGCACTGTCTGATGGGATCATATCATCCACTGGCACTGAGACCCGAGTGGCTAAGGGCAGCCCCTGGCTCCCTTGGCGAGGAGAGCGACTGCAGACTCCATCATGGGCATCTGTTAGTGCAGTTGGGGGCGGGGCGGGGCTGCGTGTCCGGGCTGCTCTTTCTGCGGAGGTGATTCTTGGAAGGAGCCTGCTGAGTGAGGAGCTCCCCAGAAGGATTCAAAGCAGCAAGGAACCCTGTGCGTGGCCCAGGACTGAAGGCTGTTCGAATCCGCCGACCTCAGGGTGTGTGGAGTTCACACCCCTAGGACCCTTCCTGGACTTCCCCTGAGGCTCAGGCCTGAATTCAGCCAGGGGAGCCTGGTCTCAAAAGTGCTGTGTGCCCTCAACACTCTCCTGTCTCACTTTCCCTGGTCTCTGTTCCAGCCCATCACACCTTCGCTCCTCAGTCTCCCTCCCCAACTCAATAGGCCCCAGGGAGTTGTGTGACTCTTTGGCGCTATCTCTGCCTTGCCTCCTCCTCTTCCTCTCTCTGCCTTTGCTCCCCTCTCTTCCTCTCCAGGAATTCATTCCTGAGCTCACTCAACAGCCCCCCTACCCATCAAACACCTACCAAGCCACGGCATTCTCGGTTGCTTCCTGCGCACGTGGAAGTGGGACCCTGACTGAGGAAGGCCGAGGAAGAATCCATGCATTTGAACGAGGGTGCTGGCGAAGACTATGTAACGTATTGTGGACTGCCAGAAGAACCACCACAGCTGTCTGACCAGAATATCCCTCCCAAGAAGCAAGGCTGGCAAGACTTCCTCTCAAGGACTTTGGGCGTGCGGTCAGGAGTGCCCAGTCCCTGCAGAAGGACATCACGGCTTGGGAAACTAGAGGGTCTCTGCTGATTACATGGCTAGAGTACACGAGACAAAGTCTCACCCTCCTGGCCTCGAAGGGGCAAGGAAAACGAGGAAGGGTCTTGAGATGGACCGACACAGTGGCCGCAGCGACGGGCTTGCTCCTAAGAAGGGTGGGGAGGCAGCGAGGACCGGGCAGGGTTGGTGCCGTGGTGGACAGGGTCACGAGGAGCCGGAACAAACACACCAACAGCAAGGTGTGCCAGGTGGTGGGACACAGCCGCAGTGGACAAACAAGACCGATCCTTGTCCTCCTTGGCGGCGTGGCTATTCCGGTGTGGAGCGCAGGCGATAAACAGTAAAGAGGACAAATCGTACAGGACCAGCGCTATGGCTGAAAGGCATCTGGGGAGGTTACAGTCTGGGCTGAGCCAAGGCGGGGCGGACACGAGGAAGGAGCATGGTACAGAGGGAACAGCCAGTGTCAAGGCCCTGGACTAGGACTCCTGGAGCGTGGGGAGAGGAGCTAGGAGGTGGCCATGGTTGGAACGGGGGTGGGAGGGGGTGGGGGTCTGGGGGAGAATGAAAGGAGTGAGGGCAGGGAACTGAAGGGGCCGCAGGAGGACTGTGGCTTCCCCATGGGGGAGGATACCCGGAGGAGGGCCCTGATTTATGCCTAATGTCTTTCTCTCCGTCCTGTCTCCAGTGGCCTCTGAAGCTACGGTCTTCGGGTGAGTAGTGAGGGCTTTGGACGTGGGGGGGGGGACGGGGGGGAGGAAGCCTGGGATAACCTCTCGCTACCCCCCTCACCCATGCCCATCTCCGCATCTCTCCGCAGTACATTCTACTGAAAAAGAGTCTAGAGCACCAGTTCCCGGATCACCTGCACTTTGTAAGGAGGGTTGGGCCTTTACTGGAAGATGCTTGAGCGGAGGGGGGAGGGCCCTTAGGGAAAGGGTCTCTCAGCCTCCCCCCACAGCCCCCCCTCTTCCTTTCCCAGGAGGAGACCATTTCTGCCCAGGCTACAGGGGAGTTTGAAGTGTCTGTGGACGGCACAGCGGTCCATTCCAAGAAGGTGACTCATGGAGGCAGGGTTCCAGACAGGGAAGGAGGGCGGGGCAGCGGGGCTCTGAGGGGATGGGGGAAGACCTGTCTCTGTCCGCCCGCCCTTGTGCCCAGAAAGGCGATGGTTTTGTGGATGACAGCAAGTTGCAGAAAATTGTGAGCAGCATCGAGGAGGCCATAAAGAAAAGGTCAGGCAACTGCCCAGCTGGAGGTGAGGTGAGGGCGCGTGCACGTGGGTGCGTCCCTGCGGAGCGGCTGGTGGGTGGGTTCCAAGGGCCTTGCCGTTAGCCGCTAAGCTCGCTGGTCTCCTCCATGAGGATTACAGCCCACAAAACCCACGGGGCAGTTCTACCCTGCCACAGAGCGCTGCCACGCATCCTGACTGACCATCAATAGCACTCCATGTTGACAGACTCCTCTACCACTCCGCGCCCTTTCAGTGACTCCCTTCCCCGCCAGTGTTCTGGAAGATCCAGGTACAAAATAAAATGGCAATTATTAAGCTAAAAAAAAAAGAGAGAGAGAATAGATTGTTGAAAGGAAAGATAAAAGACTCCTTGCAAAGAAAAGTCCCCATAATCCAACTTTCAAGAATGTTGTGTTAAAAATCAGCCAACCACCAAACCAACTACCAGCAAGTCAATTCTGACTCACAGGGCCCCACCCTACCGGACAGCGTAGACCTGTTGGTTCCCCAGGGCTTCTGAGGCAGTACATCTTTTGGGGGAACAGCCAGCCTCATCTTTCTCTCTCAGAGCGGCTGGTGGGTTTGAACTGCTGACCTTGACGTTAGCAACCCAATGTGAAACCCATTACACTGAGGAAATATGTGCAAATGTACATGTGTGTTTGTCTGTGACCATTATAAAAAGAGATGACTTTCTCATGGCAGGATCATTATTGAGAGTTTCGCTTTCTACGTCAACGTAAGAATATTTCACGAAGTTCTATTTCTATGTATGACTCTTGTCAGAACACATCTGTTCAAGCCATTTTGCAGAAGGAGCCCAAAATCCATTTGCAGGGTCCCCACATGGATTGAGCCTCCAGTGAATCCCCTCTGACCATAGCCCAGGGATGCGAATACCCTTGCTATCAGACAGAACACTGAAAAGTCGATGACAGCAGATGTAGATAGGTTAAAAAGTAGTATCTTGTCATTTGACACCCCCCCCCCTTTGACCCATTTTAACGTTGTCCCAGTTAAAAAAAAAGAAAAGAAAAGAAAGTGAAGAGGAAGCCCATGTGGATGAAGCCTCCGGTGCCTCCCCGGGGAGCACAGACCAGGGATGTGAACGGCCTGGCGACCATGCAGAGTAGAGCACACTGGAGAGTGGATGATGGCAGACGCAGGTAGGTTCCACCCCCTCCCCCCTTATTTTTGGTCTTTAATAGCTTCCTTTATCCATTATTATTTTTTTTAGTTCATTTTATTGGGGCCTCTTACAGTTCTTATAATATTCCACACATCAAGTGTATCAAACATGTTTGTACAGCTGTTGACATCATTATTTTCTAACCATTTTTCTATTTGATACCAAGGTATCAGCTCCTCTTTTCTTTTAATCATTTTATTGGGGGCTCATACATCTCTTATCACAATCCACACATACATCAATTGTGTAAAGCACATTTGTACATTCCTTGCCCTCGTCATTCTCAAGTTAGATTCAAATTTAACACCTTATCATTTGATCTCCCCTTTGACTCTTTGGAAATTTGTTCTAGTTTTTAATATTTCTTGCTTTCTTTCTGATTTGAGGTTTTTTTTTGCTCTTTTTATTGGGTTTTTTTGGGGGGGATGTTATGGGGCTGTGGTTTTCTGTCTATAAAATCCGGGAGAGGTAACCCTAGCAAGACAGCAACTGGATTAATGACTTCTTGGGGTATGGCAGAGGAGCTATTAACAATGAGGACAGGAACGAGGAAAATGTTCTAAAATGGACTGTGGGGCTGATTGTGCGTCTTTTCTTAATAGGACTGAACTAATGACTGTATGCTATGTGAATGAGTAAGCCAATAAAACTTAACGAAACCAACCAATAAAAAAGAAAACACCCGTTCTGCTTGCACATCTACCGATGTGTCCACAACCGTGCGTTCCTGCAGGAAGTGCAGGAAGTAATCGTATTCCCCACGGTTGCCTTTTACTCTCTGGGTTGGTCATGCTATGCTGATCTTCCTCTTATTGTATCCCGCCTTCCCGTCGTACAAGTTTATGCCTGTCTCCTTGCCAGTGTGTGATCCCCCACTGCCCTTTCCTGTCCCTGGTAGCCATCAAAGGTTTCTTTCTCTGTGCTAGCTTTTCCTTGGCTTTTAATAGAAATAGTCTCGTATAATGTTTGCTCTTTGTGATTGGCTTATTTCATGCCACCTAATGTCCTCCAAGTGGCCTAGTGAGGTAGGGCTGCTCACAGCCAGGTCAGAAGTTTGAAACCACCAGGTGTTCCACGGGAGAAAGACGAGGCTTTCTACTCCCACAAAGAGTTGTTGCCGTCTCAGACACTCAGAGGGGGCAGTGCTACTGTGTCCTAGAGGGTCCCCATGAATCAGAACGGACTTGAAGCCAGCTAGCAGTGTGTTTGGTTTTTTGGTTTGATGTCCTCCTGATGGTGTAGTGGGGTATATGTTTGCTACTAACAGCCAAGCCAGCACTTTGAAACCACCAGTGGCTCCACGTGAGAAACACGTGGTTTTCCTGCTCCTGGAAGAGTGACAGGGGCAGTTCTACCCTGTCCTATAGGGTCGCTATGAGTCGGCATGGACTCCATGGCAGTGGGATTCACCTTTACTTATTAGCCCGTGTGTCCCACTGTGTAGGTGCTGTCAGGGCTTGTCTGTCCATCTCTTTGTCAGGCACGCGGTGGTTCCCATCCTCTTGGCACTTGTCCAGAGGCTACGAGGACCATGGTGTGCCTCCTTCTATTCCCGTCACTGGCTTTCCTTTCTCTAGGACGTAGACCACGTAGAGCAATGCTTCCCAAAGCTGGCAATCCCACCGCCACCCTGGGGAGGGGCGCTGGAACCACCCACAGGGGCACTGCCAAAGCAGACGTCACTGCCCTGCCACTGCCACTGAGTCCATGCCAACTCCTAGCCACCCTAGAGGACAGGGTAGCACGGCCCAGGTGGGTTGCCAGGACTGCAACTCTTTACGGGGGTAGAAAGCCTTATCTTGCTCTCGAACAGCAGCTGGTGGTTGTGAACTGCTGACCTGTCAGTTAGCAGCCCCACTGGTCATTTGGGCTGTTTCTGACTTCTTGCCGCTGGGAACGGAGCTGCCAAGAACACGGGAGTGCAGATGTCTGCTCGTGCTATGGCGCTTACCCCTCTAGAGCAGTTTACATTTGGTCTTAATTTTATCCAGGTCCAAGTGATGTCTCAGAAACCATACGGGTTCAAAATGCACAAATGGATGCGTTAGGACTTCTGTCTGCACTCCCGGCCAGCAAGGCAATGCAGACTCACCGCTCCCCGATCTGTTTGCACACACCTGTGACATCCTCCCCCTCACCAGGCATAATGAGCATGTCCATCCCCCCAAAACTTTCCTCGGGAGCCTTGGTCATCTCACGCCGTCTTCTCCAACTGGGATGCCCACTAGGCAGCTTTCTGCCATCATAGGTTGGTTAGTGAATTCTAGCGCCTTTACGTTTTCAAAGGCAGTTTGGCATGTAGCAGCCCGACTGGTCATTTGGGCTCTTTCAAGCCTCTTCTTGTGAACGGTGCGGCCGTGAACATGGGCGTGCAGATGCTGTTCCGTTTGCTTTGTGGCTCTTCCTCCTCTCGGGCATCTTACCTTCCAGAAACCCAGTGGGACTGTTTTCAGACAATGATGGAGAGAAAAACGTGGCCTGTGTACCTTGCTCCTGTCGCTCACTGCCATCAGTGCGGACTCAGAGTGACCCCAGGGAGAATGACCCCTGGGAGTTTGAGACTGTAACTCTGTACGGGAGTAGATAGCCTTGACTTTTTCTCGAGGAGCCAGCTGGTGGCATTGAACTACTAACCTTGCAGATCACAGCCAAACGGGTAACCACCACTCCACCAGGGCTCCTGCTCAAATAATTAGTTTCATTAATGATCTTCCCGTCCTGCCCTCCACCACCCTACCGTAGGATTCTAAAGTTGATTCGGGGCCTCATGCGTCTTCACCTGTAAACATTTCAGTTTGCGTCTCCAACGGATGCATTTTAAAAATAAGAGCAAAATCATTATCACATCCCAAACTGTTTATTTTTTTGTCTTTTTAAAAAAATTAATTTAATTTTTTATTCCCCCTCCCCTTTAAAAAAAATTTATTAGGGGCTCATACAACTCTTATCACAATCCACACATACATCAATTGTGTAAAGCGCATTTGTACATTCATTGCCCTCATTCTCAAAACAACATTTCCTCTCCACTTAAGCCCCCGGCATCAGGTCCTCATTTTTCCCCTCCCTCCTTTTTTTTAAGTCTTACTAAGTGCTCAGAAGAAAGATGGGCCTTAAATGGTTCCCGTCTCAGAAACCCACAGGGTGGTTGCTATCAGTCCGCATCGGCTCAATGGTAGTGAGTTTAGTTTGGTATTGATTCTAGGTATCCACCCTAATATCTCAAAATATCTTTTTACAGTTAGTTTATAGATTCAAGATCAGACAAGGGCTGTGTGGTTTTTTTTGTTTGTTTGTTTTTTTGGGCTGTGTGTTTTATTATCTGACATGTCTATGACGTGCCAGACTCTCAGCTCACACACAGAACCCTGGTGGTGGTGTGTTTATGCCGCTAACTGCGATGAGTCGGCAGTTCAAAATGACCAGGCTCTTCTGAGGGACAAAGCTTTCTACTCCTGTAAAGAGTTACAGTACAGAAACCCATAGGGGCAGTTCTACCTTGTCCTATAGGGTCGCTATGAGTCGGCATTGACTGGATGGCAATGAGGTTTTTTTAATTTTTTAAAGAGACTCTTAATTGGTGCCTTTT